TTTGGTATCCGGATCGGGATTTTCTCGTATGGACGCACGGCAGCTAACGGTTAGCTGCCGTGCCGATCTATTTTGATCTCCATCTGTGGCATAATAGACTGATCAAATGTAATGATAGTCTTCTTATTTTTTTGAATTATAATATCTCCAAACCACCACAATATTAGACTGATCAAATGTAATGATAATCTTCTTATTCTTTTGAACTTGAACTTGGCAAAAACAAAACATTCTTAAATCTGATAAAATTTCCATTTTTTTTGTCTCATTTTTATTGTTATCTATGTTTGTTGATTCAAGCTTTCTCTCCCTCTCTTTAATTTCCTTTAAGAATTCATATTGGTAGTGTTACTGATTTGTTGTTAACTAATAACATGGCCACTCATTAATCTCATGCCTTGCCACACTACTTTCATGTTATTTTCTGTAAACTTCTTTTCAATTTTATATATATATTTTATATATATATATATTCCTCCTTGCACATTTTATTTCTTTTTGGACTTCTTTAATTTTATTTTTGTTCCCTTCTTCAAATGCTTTTTTTTTTAAAATAATAGTCTTTACTTTCTTGGTTTATCACGGTTATTATTTGCAATTAACTTGATCTTTTTTGTTGGAATAAACATTTCACAACAACAAAATAATATATTACGAACGGTTTCCGTTTATTTAAGTCAATGTCAACAAGTCTACGTGATAATTTGTTGTCTAGAGCAATGACATCAAAATTAACATAAAAGTAATCCTTAGTTATGCGATAAACAGATCTTTCTCCATTATATGATGATTAGGGCATTCAAGGAAAAGTGTTGGCTATTACAGTTATGTGACTTTTAGCCTATAAAATCTATTTTTATACCTTCCTATTACCATTCACAGCACAAGAATGATATGTTTTATAAATACTGCTAGTGTGCAAATGAAAATTAAAAAAAATAACTGGCTATTGTAACTAAAGTAGTCTTTAATATTACCATTCTTTTTTTTTGTTGTCATGACACTGAGTTTAAAACATAGAGGCATTGCATTATAGATGCACTATATAAATGGAAGACCATGACAATCTTAAAGGAATTACTTGTTCTGATTGGATTGTATTGTCCTAATCTATACAATAACATTCAGTCAGAAATAGGAATTTGTTTAAGACTGGTGTAACAATAGCAAACGTTAATATTAACATAATACATATAAAAACACAAAGTAGGATCATCAAAAATAAACATTATGTAAACTGTATTACCATATATGGTATCTTTCTTTGTTCTTTATTTGGGTTTTTTTTTTTAAAGTACAAAAGTATTAAAAATTATAATTAATAGGTAAGTAAAAAAGTAGCTAAAATTACATTAGACTTACTGTTAACTACACTTTATTTATATGAACCTGTACGGTAATTAATGCTCTGTACTTTCCAAAATACTTGTGAAGTAAGAATTGAACCTACGAGCTCCAGTGGGTTCGATTCCCACTTGAATGACTTGCAATATTATTTTGCAAGTATTTGGGAAAGTACAAAAGTATTAAAAATCATAATTAATAGGTAAGTAAAAAAGTACTTATAAAAGTATTTATATGAACCAGTACGGTAATTAATGCTCTGTACTTTCCAAAATACTTGTGAAGTAAGAATTGAACCTACGAGCTCCAGTGGTTTCGATTCCCACTTGAATGACTTGCAATTTTATTTTGCAAGTATTTGGGAAAGTACAAAAGTATTAAAAATCATAATTAATAGGTAAGTAAAAAAGTACTTGGGAAAGTACAAAAGTATTAAAAATCATAATTAATAGGTAAGTAAAAAAGTAGCTAAAATTACATTAGACTTACTGTTAACTACACTTTATTTATATGAACCAGTACGGTAATTAATGCTCTGTACTTTCCAAAATACTTGTGAAGTAAGAATTGAACCTACGAGCTCCAGTGGGTTCGATTCCCACTTGAATGACTTGCAATTTTATTTTGCAAGTATTTGGGAACTTACTGAGCATTCAGAACGATAACACATTAGGTAGGGCAAAAACACCTTCATGTCAAACTTTCTGACACAAACATCTTATATATGATCATTATCTTAATTGTCATTATTTCCTGTTGTACTCATAAGAATGTAACTACCATGACCCTTTGTGTTTCTGGGTTATTAGCCTACCAAAAGTAATACCAAAAAGGTATCTTTATTTAAAAATAAATGCCAAACAATATAACATAAATTTCATTGCTTTCAAAGATGAATTGTGAAACAAAAGGTTTACAGAATAGGTGTAAGCATATTAAAAGTACAATCATTATTAAAATATTGAAAAGTAAAAACCACAGTATTTCAACTACAGTAGTTCCATTCAGATAAAATTTATTCAAGGATATTCAAGTAACATTACCACCTCCACGCAGTGGCGTATGTAGGAAATGACAAATTATACATAAAAAATGTCCGATTTATTTATGAATACCCCTTGGTATGAAGGGGTACATAAAATGGACATTTTATACAACAATAATTAAATTCAACAGATTAATGCTTAAATATTTATTTTATTTTATTCAGTATAAAACCAACAGCGATGAAAACCGCCACTAACAGGTTCAACTAAAACATATATAAATATATATTATAAACTTCAAAACTGAAATAAACTAAAATACACTTACACAAATTTAACTATTTTGCTTTTAAAAATATTAAGACTATCATAAAAAATATCAATATTAAAACAAGTATCAAGTAGTCTATTAAATTCGTTCGGTAAACGTTGAAAAATACCCCGTTTTGTGCAATCAACACGACCGTAAGGAAATGAAGTAAACACTTACTGCGGGTACGAGTCGGGATGTTTAAACTGAACATAGAAACAAGAGGACAATCATAAATTGAATTTAAAGACTTATATAAAAATACTATGTCAAAAATAATTCTACGATTTTCAAAAGAGACATAAGGGAGACATTATAATTGGGACAAGTATGACTAAGAAACCTAATAAACTAAAAAAAATTTTTTTTTAAATATGGACATACAACTGGTTTTTATCACAGAAAATGTGATAATCTGGATAGAGCCTTAGATAATTAAAATATTTTACTGGCCATTAATATCATACATGATAATTAAATTATTAAGTTGTGAATGCACTAAAGATATTTGTATATCTCCATGGTTAGAACAGTTAATGTTCCATTAAAATTGATTACTAGATTAACAGCCTGCCAACACATTTTTTTTTTAAGAATCTTAGATTAAATGTGAAGCTTGTAATTATGTTATAGTATTTATTAGCCACACCTTGTGAGCTTCAATTCTTCTTAATAGTATTAATTTAGCATTTGGAAATACCGACATTGCTTTTGTGAAATTTGCTTGTATTGCGCAACTTTTAAAGCAATGCATGAGACATTTAATTGAATCATATACACATATAAATGCTTAACAAACTATGTAAAATAAGCCTACATAACTTCCATTTAAACATAATATCTGTAAAACTGTTAATTAATTAGTCATGTTAGCAAACTTCACATTTGAAGCTGAATGAGGAATCATATAAAATATTATATATATATTAAAACAATAACAATAGCTTTTGTTTTAAAGCTTAATCCCTGTAAAAACTACATGCATATGTTCATGATAATTATGTCACCATTCATGAGCATATTTAAGTATTCATGTTTTTGTAAAATGATATTTGATAGTCTAAATATATTTTATTGGCCATTCATATTATACATGACATTATTATTGTTATATCTCCATGGTTACAATAATTAATGCTCCATTAAAATTGATTACTGGATCAAGAGCCTGCCAACGCATTTTTTTTTTTAGAATCTCAGATTTGCTTTTGATTGTTTTATTTGTTTATTATTTATTACCCTCATTACATTATTATAATATCAAAACAAAAAACAAGTACATAAAAACACCAAAAAAATGAGAGCAAGAGGATAACCCTATAAGCTCTATGAGCTTGTTTACTTAGGAGTCCTTGAACCTATAGAAAGAGAAGCAAATATAAACATAAAACAATTTTTTTTTAAATTAATGCTTTTATTATTGTTTTATTTGCTTGCATTATACTGTCAGTCCATTTTGATATGGAGTGTTGGTGATCAGTATCCTGTCATCCATATTAAGGGTCCTGGGTTCAAATCCTGTAATATAGTCTCCATAACAGTGTCGATATTCTCAATCAAATGTAATGATGTATATTAAATACTTTTTTTAAATGAGAATGTTGATTCTTACAATGATCTTGCAGCTGACACTATGTGCCCAATGCTAAAGCCCTGTCCAGACTATCAAATTTTATTTGACACAAACATGTGACATGCCTAAATATGGTCATGATGACATCACATCATGATGGTATAGGCACATCATGACTATATATGGGCATACAACAGTTTTTTGTCAAAGAATATAAGAAAAATTTTAATGCAGTCAGATTCAACAAATGATTTTCCATATCTAATATAGTACCGTAGCACAACCAGGATTTTTAGGAAATCTTATAATTTCAAAGATTATAATTGCAAACAAAAAATGAAATATAGATAATATATTAATAAATTTAAAGAAATCATTAATCTAATCTAACTTCTGATGTTAAATTAATCAATTACTGTATGTATATTAAATTAATTAATGTATATGCTTTTGATTTATTTTAAACTAAATATACTTTTTAATTTCACATTTTAATCACATTTATTACTTAATCAAATTCTTTAATGTTTATACTTTTGTTATGTATTTTGTATTTTTATATTTTACCACTTATGGCCTTGCACGGCCTTGATGAAAAACACCCTTGGGTGATCAAGTTTTTCCGTGTTTGAATAAAGTAATTATTATTATTATTATATTGTTTTATGTTGATTTTCCTATAGGTTTACTGTGTATGTGATATATTGTACATGTAATCATGTTGTTTTCATTTTACTGTTGCAATCTAGGTGAAAACAACAACAAGTATGATGTAAGTTGAACTTACTAGAATTAACTTAAAATAACATGGCCTCCAAAGCGACATACTGTATACTCAGCCCATAGATCATCACTGACATCCTGTAATTGGCATTTCAATCACTCTTGGATGAGAAGGAAATAAAGATTTAATAATAACAATAACTACTGTTTTCACGTTCATATCTACATTGTCTCTTTACGTTTCTATATATTACTCCACTACATAATTCAATGTCAACAATGTATACTTCCACGCCTTTGATCATTTATTTTGAAATTGGCGCATATCAATTGTTTGTTTATTATTATTATAATGTTTGGAAATTTTGCCATACTAACCCTATCAGTGGCAGGTTCAAGGGTGTCTTTCTCCCACTAAGTTTTTAAAAATTATAAAAAAAAAAGTTCCAATAAAAAGAAAATAATATTCAAGTATTTAAGTCTTAGAGTGCCATTTCTGGCCATCTAGAGGTGCCATGAATATTCTTGCCTTGACCCCAATCATGGTTGGGCTGAGGTGGTATAGACCCCTCTGTCTGTGAAAGTCCCTCTCTGGCACCCTCAATTTCATTTTCCTGGATCCACCATTGCCCATGTGCAATGGTGGAATGGTTCCAGTTTTGACAGTCAGATTGGTGCAATGTTACTTTTGGTTACATTTTGTTACATTTGGTAAGATTTTTGTACGTGTGAATCGGGTATTAGAGTGGCATTTCTGGCCATCTAGAGGTGCCATGAATATTCTTGCCTTGACCCCAATCATGGTTGGGCTGAGGTGGTATAGACCCCTCTGTCTGTGAAAGTCCCTCTCTGGCACCCTCAATTTCATTTTCCTGGATCCACCATTGCCCATGTGCAATGGTGGAATGGTTCCAGTTTTGACAGTCAGATTGGTGCAAGTAAAGTAGAAAGTAGAACCCTTACTTGATCATCCTTTTCCATATTAGTTAGTGCCTGTCACACTATATAAGTTTTAGGTCTGACAAATATCTGTAATTTGACAAGATCATAATATGGCGGCATCATTCCCTTATATTGAGGGCCCCAATGGAATGCAGTGTTCACACTGATTGGGCTCACCCTTGTTAAAGATAAAGAAATAAATATGTCACAAGCCTTGATAATATGAACAGAGTCTTAGGGTAGTAATCAATCACAAAATAATTTATTCAATTCTACAAATCATATTACAAATAAGTATGAGAGAAAATTTAAATTGTAGAAACTGGGAGATTAAGACCAAAATCTTTCTTTTCTTTGTATGAAAGACAGTACTGTAGTATTATTTAATCTTACCAAAGTGTCTTCACTTTGGTAAAATACACTTTGGTAAGATTAAATATAATAGTACTTTAGTATGATTTAAACTTACCAAAGTGTATTTCACTTTGGTAAACGATCAATTCAACAGCTTAGGCTATGTTCACACACACGGCGTAAGGCTGGTTTAAGCATGGCGTAGCGTACGCCTTTGTGTGTGAACTAGGCAGTGGCGTTGTTAAAGCCACTCATTACGCCACGTCCAACCACGATTGCAATATATTAGCTACTTTGGTCTCTTTCCTGTGCTCTCTATAAATGAAATGGTAAAGGGGTTCTTTTTCTATTGCACTTTACTTAGTTATAATGTATATGCTTTGTCGATTGTGTTTTGTAAGATATTTTAACCTATTTAGACTGTCTATTAAAACCTGCAACACCAACAATGCTAGCTGAAAAATCAAAGTAAAATTATTCATTTAAAATACAATAATCATATAAGTTCACTTCGAACAATTCACAGGTTTAAAAGTTTTGCTGAATATGCACTGTTAATTTTACTACAGTTAAGAACCCGTACATTATCTAAAACTTATTACTACTAGTTTAATGCCAGCGTTAATATAGCAAACACCGTTTGTGTGAACACTTTGGAATTTTAATCCGTGAATTAGCTTACGCCTGGCGTAAGCTACGCCAGTCTTACGCCGTGTGAGTGAACATAGCCTTAGTCTTTAAGCTTTTGATTATCCATGTTAATGCATTTGGTATCATATGATTTAGATAAACTTAATATTTAATCCCTACTTTACGTTAGCGGATTCCACAGAGAAAAGAAAGCATGTGGATACCTATACTAAGTAATACAAAATAAAATTTTGATTTACAGTGTTAAGACATGGCAATGCTCTACTACTGTATAAGTAAACTACAATAAACATTAAATATAGTGACAAAATATTCCTGGATCTTGTTGTGTTGCACTGTTGTAGTGGATGGAATTTCCGGACTAATTGACAGATCCTGTCTCTAGATATACAATAGGCATCATATACATTACTTGGCAATGTCCACTACAAAACTACACTAAACATTAAATATTTAGCATAAAAAGATTTTAAAAAATAAACTTAAAAAAAGTCTAAAGCTATTTATGGATTGTGGTGTTTATGCTGTGGGCGTGGGAAACAAATTCCTGGATCATTCATTCATTCATTTTTTTCATTCATTCATTTTTTATTCCGACAAACAAATGTAAAATACAGTTTGCACAATACAGTATAACCAACAGAAATAACAAACAAATTATAAAATAGTCCAAGATGTCGAGGATTGATAATAGTATTGGACACTTTAGCTGGAAAGCCCATCAACCCAGTATTAGGAAATTATAGATAATATAAGTAAAAAAAACATCACTTATTTATTCACTTATTGATCTTGTAGCGTTGCACTGTAGTGGACGGAATTTCTGGACGAATTGATAAATCCTCTGTCTTCCTAAATCATAGTCATATACCTGAAAATGCTCACTACAATTAAACTTCACTTAAACATTAAATACCTAGCATGAAAAGATCATTAGAAAATTGTTTTTTTCTGTCAGATTTATAACAGTGTTTGGTGATAACACATCTGTTTCTGCTGAAAATTTCATCAACATTGAACATGAATCAAGGAGGTATACACTTACTTGATGTAATGTCAAGTGCCTACCTGTTTGAACAGTCTGTTTATTTTTCATAATGGGCTGTTTATTACCGTGTTCGGACGTAAACTCAAATACATGTGTAATCTAATCCTTGGGGCTAATTCTGACGGCCATTCGGACGAGTAGAATAAGTAGCAGTAAAACCAGTAACTTCTCGTATGTCTTTCCTTCAACCAAGGTCAGACACAAATTTTTTAGCAATATTTTTGTTGTTACTGTTTAAAACTATACATAATCTAGCATTTGGAGCTTCAAGTGATCTCTTCACCGTGCTAACAAAACTTTATTACATTCGGCACATGTCCGCCGCTAGACGACGCCATGTTGTTGTTGACTGTAAAACAACTCGTAAAATTGTAACAAAACTAATTTAAAAGTAGGTATAAAATTATTTTTCTGTTATTGAAATACAAATTACATCTAATTATAATTTTTAAGTTTGTTTTTAAAGCAGTAATACTCGCTTAACAAATAACAAAACTATGAATTAGAAATACAACATTTGAATGAATACAGGGACGTATGTAAAATTGTCGGTCGTTCGCTGGCCTACCGTAAAGAACTTTTTGTTTGTAAGTTTAAACGTCATTTTCTCGTGTTTTGCTAAAGTTCTTACTGTCAAACTTTTTTATTGCTTTTAAATATTATTTAAGTTATTTTCATAAGGAGTTAAAAGTATTATGAGAAAATGGGAACGGGATTGAACGATAGGAATTTTACTCTGGCCTGGTGTTGTATACACATCTAAAGGTCAACTTTTGACATGGGCCCTTGTTACACGTGATAAATTACGCCTGGAGGCAGCGTGTAATTGAAATATCCACTAAAAAAGATGGGTTTTTTGGACAGATGTTTTTCGAATTGTTTATGGCTAGAGGCAAAATTTAATTGCCACACCTTTACTCGTCCGAACTGTCCCTGTGATTATTGTACCCATCATTATTTACTGTACATTATGCCTTTTCATGATTTATTAAATTCATGGTTTTGGTTTCGCTGCTTAGTCTTTGTTCAGCTATAAAAACTTTTAAACTTTTGAAGTTTAAACACAATAAAAATCAATATTTGATTTGCCTACTGTGTAAATTGAAGTATACCATAGCTTTAGCTTTCAGTTCAAACAAACATTTAATGAGAAAATTTTATTTATTAGGATTTCAAAAATTATTTCAATTTTAGAGTCTACTCTATATGTAAAAAATACATTGTACAAATGATTCACCCTAGCAAATTGTGTTTTTTTCTTGTCTGGGTGGTGGTGGAGGTTGGAGGTCGGTGGGGGGGTGGGGGTAGAGGAAGCTCTCTCCAATGGGGTCCTGGCGCAACCAATCTAAAAATGTTTTTTACAATTTTTTCTTTCTCGTTGTAACATTGGCACTTGTCAAGTATTTTTCCCATAAAATCAGTAAAATAAAACACCGGTAGTATTTGTGAGCATTTGGTGGTTGATTTATCCTTAATAGAATAAATGTTTAACCTATCATTGCTTCTTAATTGAATGATAACACCACTTAAACCACGATGAAGTAGCTTTCAGGTCAATGCACATGTCATTCAATTTGTGATTCAGTAAAAAAAATACCCATAGAAGCTTGTAACAGTAGTCTGGATGATAAATGGCTCAGGCCAAAGTACAGTAAATGTATTATACAAACAGCAGTCTAACAAGCTTTATTAATGCTCTGTTTTCTTTACCGCATGTTCATGCGTAAATATTGACTTGGGCTTATAACAAGTTTATTATTTATAATTAGGTTTGATCTTTGTAATCAAATGATTTACAGTCATTGGATGTGAATTTAATTAATGAAGTATTTGATTACTATCATAATGGGATATCACAGTAATTAAGAATCCAATGATTTGTTACAAATATGAAGTCATACTTAAGAAAGTATGTGAAATTTTATTAGGCCTATACTACCCTATAAAGAATGAACCTGTATTTGTTCATCAAGCATCTTGTGAGAAATATCTGTGATTTTTTCCATATAATTGCATGGTTGTCATATCATGTCCATCATATGCTATCATAACAATATGGTAATCAATTTGAGTTATTATATGATAATTCAAAACTATCATCATTACATAATATTACTAATAGTATTGTAATATAGGAGGCCTATAATACAAATGGAGAGTTTTAAT